ATAACCATTAAGACCTCCAGTCCACTGATGCTAAATTTCTTCGTTGTGCGTCATTCTTACCATGTTTCCATTTTTCTTAACCTAGCTTTGATTTCATGGTCTATAGGTCTATTGTTATAACCACTTACTTAACACCTGTTGTATTTTACCTGATTAAAGCCAGCATTCTACCTACTTTGTACCTAAACAGCCAAATGAGACTGGAGGAAAACACAACTGTTTTGACTGATTTCACTTTAAATACCCGTACCTTAAAACCTTAGTGCTGCCTGAAGTTTTAGTTTATGCACTCTCTCATTTTTCCTTCAACTCAGAAACCCTCTCTTTTCAGTTGATGGTGTTTATTATTTTACTCAAAAAAAAAAAAAGCCAAAACAAACATGGAGAAAAGAGAACTTTGTGTGTTTCTATCAGAAGATCTACAAATCTGAAATCGCAGTTTCCAGGAGAATGATAGGAGCAGAAGCTGCTTTTTCAGGGATTAAAATGTGAATGGATCAAAAGGAGATAGGACTGTGACATTTTCCCAGTTGTATCTCTGGAATACTGTGTTTGTTTCATGAATCTTGCCCAAGAAGAGATTTAATGGCTAAGTAAATTTGAGAAATGCTGAAAACTATATATAGTATTCGTATGGAAGAAAGTTCCCATCTGCTGGCCTAGATTTTACTGAAGAGTTGGTTTTCAAACTTTGGCCTATTTCACAGTCACTGGAAGGGCTTGCTAAGGCACAGATTGCTGCATACCACCTCCAGAGGTTCTGATGGCACAGGTCTTGCGTGGCTCCTAAAAATTTGCATTTACAAGTTTGTAGGTGATGCTGATGCTGCCAGTCCAAGAGATTGGGGAATCCCATTTTGAGAGTAACTTCACTTGAATAAGAAATCAACTACCAAGAGTGGCAGGTGTAGCTAGGATTTGGAGCAGTGCAGGAAAGAGCCTTTGCAGAGTAGCAGAGTCAGAAATGAGCTCACAGCATTGTCAGTGTCAGGGATTCCCTGGTGGCTTGCCGGTTAAGAGTCTGCCTGCAGTGCGGGAGGCCAGGTTCATTCTCTGGATCCAGAAGATCCCCTGGAAAAGGAAATGGCAGCCCACTCCAGTTTTCTTGTCTGGAAAATCCCATGGATGGAGGAACCTGGTGGGCTACGTACAGTCCATAGAATTGCAAGGAGTCAGACACGACTGAGCGATTACACACAACATAATGGAACTTTGGTAGTAAGATAGCATGAGTTTGTGGTGGACCGAGACAGTGAGTTTTCATGATTTTCCCTAACAGTTTGACCTGTCAGGGAGAAAGAACAGACCCTGCAGCAGTTAAGTGTGAAGTTTTGAGTGACTTGTGCATGCATACGTGCTAAGTCACTTAAGTCGTGTCCGACTCTTTGTGACCCTATGGACTGCAGCCTGCCAGGCTCCTTTGTCCATGGGTTTCCCCAGGCAGGAATACTGGAGTGGGTTGCCATACCCTCCTTCAGGGGATCTTCCTGACCCAGGGATCAAACCTCGTATCTCTTATGTCTCCTGCATTGGCAGGCTGCTTCTACCACGGTTGCCACCTGGGAAGCCCTAAGTGACAGGCCTCTAATCCAGGTGTCTATAGAACTTGCCATCAAGCACGCCGTCTTTGCTGTGTATTACCATGATGAGTGCCAAGACAGTAACTGTATGATCTATCTTTACCCATCTCCTTTTTGTTTGTATTTTTATTATTTGCTATTCATTAATTGTTTTTAGTTTAAAAAACTGTATACATTAGTTAATGGGGTTTTGGAATACAAAGACTAAATGTCATAAATTATCCTAAGCTGATGCTTTCAATTACAGTTTAATAAGTCTTTGAGCAAATGTCTTGTTTTCCCACTTGGAAATTTTTTAAATAAAAGAATTAGGAGCTACCAGTTATTTCTTTATGAATGTAATTTTAAAGCCATAGAATCTTTTAAAATTACATTTTGGGAGAGTCATTATAGGTTTCTGGTTGAGAAGAGTCTCGTGGACTTTTTAAAAAGATATTAATTTTTTTGGTGTATACTTGACTTACAACATTATGTTAGTTTCATGTCTACAGTACAGTGATTCAGTTCTGTACACACTTATTTTTCTTTTCTTAGATTCTTTCCTCACGTAGGTTGTCACAGAATATTGAGTAGAGTTCCCTGTGCTATACAGTAGATCCTTGTTGGTTATCGTGTGTATAGTAGTGTGTGTGTCTTCATCCCAAGCTCCTGATTTTTTCCCCCCTTCCCCTCCAATTTCCCCTTTGGTAACCATACATTTGTTTTCAATATCTGTAGGTCTTTTTCTGTTTTGTGAATAAGTTCATTTATATCTTTTTAAAAAAATTAGATTCTACATGAGTGATATCATATGATACTTGTCTTTCTCTGACTTACCTCACTTGGTATGATAATTTCTCTGCCTGTTGATACTGCTGCAGATGGCACTGTTTCATTCTTTCTGTGGCCGAGCAGTGTCCCATTTATACCTGTGCGCCGCCTCTTCATCCGTTGCTCTGTTGATGGACATTCAGGTTGTCTCCCTGTCTTCGCTGTTGTAAACAGTGCTGCAGTGAACACTGGGGTGCAGGTACCCTTTTGGATCATGTTTTTTTTGTTTGTTTGTTTTTTAAAGTACCTAAGTATTTATTAGAGAAGCTGGTCCTCTTATAGGGTTTATATAGTATTTGTGGCGTAAGTTGCGTTACCATTCCTGGGTGTTTGTACTTGGGCTTTTCCACTGAAATGTTTTTATAATAAGGCTGTACCTTTGTGTTTATTGTACTGCCTTAATGACTTTATAGTATTTGTATTGAGCCCAGAGTAGTAAGGAACCACAAGAAATGCTGTTCTGAAACATGCTTTGGGTACATGGTAGAAGAGGAGAAGGGTGACTCCTTTTTTCCTGTCTTTATTTCTCCTGCATCTACTTCAGTGAGCAGGCAGGTAAGCCTGAGAAGGATTCTGCTTTTTCATCTCTGATTTCTCAAATTTTTGTCAAGCTTTGGAAGTTATATACTGTGTTCTTTTCACAGTGTTGTTCTTTAAAGTAATATAATTTTGAAAACTTGTGGACTTGTTTTTTAGAGCTTTACTGAAGAATAGGTAATTATAATAAATTGTATATATTTAAAATGTACAATTTAATGAGCTTTGACATGTGAACCATCATTATAGTAACATGATAACATACATTTTCATCATCCCCAAGAATATTGTTGTGCTCCTTTGTAGTGCATCCCCTGATCTGCATTCCGTCACCATAGATAAGTTTACATTTCCTCAAATTTTAAATGAATGGAATTACATAATATGTATACTATGCATGTATACATACTGACTATGTATACTTTTGGGGGGGGTTCTGATGTCTCTCAATTAGCATAACAGGGTTTATTCATGTAGTTTCTTGGGTCAGTAATTTGTTCATTTTTATTGCCAAATAGTATCTAACTTGAATATTTCAAAATTATTAATTCACTTACCTGTTAATGGATATTTGGGTTGTTTTCTGTTTGGAGTTAATGAAGCTGCTGTGAACATTTGTGTACAAATCTGGTCATGGACATGTAATGTACCTTTATGTTTCTTGAGTTACGTACTTACTTAGAAGTGGGATAGTTGGCTCGTATGGTAGATATATGTTTAACTTTTAAGAAACTGCCAACTATCTTCCAAACTGATTGTACCATTTTAACATTCTTGAGAGTTCTAGTTGTTCCACATTCTCACCAGCGTATGATATGGCCAGTCTTTTTTTTTGGCTAGAACCTTTATTATTTCAGAAATAAGCATTCTGTGTAGCTTGAGGTGGGTATTTCTGGATACTGTAATAAATATTTGTCAAAACATCAACTATTTCAATAATAATACACTTATTTATAAGAACGTCCAGAAATAACTCTTCTGTATCAAAAACTTAATGGCACAAGAGAGTTAAACAATGGTCTGTAGAGGAGAAAAGGAAAATTCTTCTAGGGGAAGCTTCATAAGGCATTTTCTTCATTACTTTTTTTTTGGTGCCGGTCCTGGGGATCGAACACAGGAACTTACGTTCCATTACATTTCTGATTGATACAGTTCATGAAAAAAGCCTCGCTTTGTCTTGCGTTAGTCTTTTTGTTTGGCCATTCTGGTGGTTTGTATGCGTGACTGTGTATTGGGGCTCAGTGTTGTTTTAATTTGTATTTTCTACATGGCCTGTGATCTTGGGCTGCTTATTTGCCATCTGTATATCTTTGATGAAGTGTCTGTTCAAATTTTCTGTCCACTCTTTAACATTCTGGAACTTCCTTTCATCAGTTGGTGGCTGAAGAGCAATAGTTTTAAATTTTGATGAAACACACCTTATCAACTTTTTCTGTACAGTTCTCTTTATACTTTGTATCCTATTTGAGTACTGCATCATTTTGTTTCTTTGATTTTTGCTAAAAAGTTAGATAATCTTAGACTCATTTTTTAGCCAGTAGGGGGAAAAAAGTATAGGAGGCAGTTATAAAGCTAGAGTCATAGCTGCCTTTTATTTTTCTTATATTATACTTTAAAAGCAAGTTGTGTATGATTCTAGTATTATTTGTTCTTTTTGGCTGATTTTTAAACCTGTCAAGGATTTAAGAGATTGCTGATCAAATTCCTTTGTTTTATGGGGTGAAGGACCTGAGGTTCATAAAGGTTACATGACTTGGCTAATGGTTTACAGTTTATGATTATTCTAAGATCAAACAGTCTGAGGTCCTCTTAGATCCCATTTCACTATTTATTTCCCTTTGAGGAGCTGTCTTTGTGATGCTGTTGATAAGACTTTACTGCATGCTATAACATTAAAATAAATTTAGTTCCTTCATTTGTTGCTTCTCCATTGCTTATTGTGATTAATATCCTATTGAAAGCAATATTATTAAAACTAAAGTAGGTTAGTTTTCTGAATGAATCTTAATTCTCTCTTAAAATTTCATTAAGATGTTGAATTTAACACTTTTGTTTTTGTAATTCTTTCCAAAGGTCTGTAAACAGATTTGGCTAGGATTATTTGATGATAGATCTTCAGCAATTCCAGACTTCAGGGATCCACAAAAAGTGAAAGAGTTCCTACAAGAAAAATATGAAAAGAAAAGATGGTGAGTGAATAGTTTCTATTTAGAGCAAAGGCTCCCCAGATTGTATTAATTATGGGTAATATTAATATAACAGGAAGGAAGGAAATAAGTAGGTAGATAGGAAATAAGGAAATAGGTAGATACTCATTATACTTTGGCTTTTATTGGATTTGATTTCCAAAAACCTTTACTTCTGCTTTATCCTAACTCATCTGTGCCTGGCAGTAGCCTTTTTGTCACCACCAGGCCTCTTACCCTTTTTTGGGAAATCGGGGATTCTTCCTTCAAAACCTTTACTATCCCTGTTAGCTTCTCTAGACGTAGTCATGTAAAACCTCCTTTCTTAAAAATCTTCCTTCGTTTAGCAAGTGTTTCTTTAGTTTCTTTTATATAGTAAGCATTGCGCTAAAGCACTCATGAAGCAATCTATTATTCACTTAATTGCAGGTTGCAATAATTCTTTGCTCAAAATACCCCTCACTACCCACCCAAGAAGTCATTTTTCTACCTTGTTAAGAAGGAAGTGTTTATACTTTTTAAACTAAATCTGTCAGATGTTAATTTTTGAAAAGTAGTTAAAACAGATGTACATGTGGCTAGTGAAGTGTTTTAAAGCAGAGCAAAGGTATATTCGTAGAACTAGTGTTCAGCTACTCTGAGCTCTTCATTTTTAGCTGTATGAGAACAATTTAAGTCAGCTTATTAAGAGTCATTAGTGATGAATTCTTGGTTATTTCTTTAGTGTGTTAGTTTCAATAGTGTGTATTTTCCTTCTTGAGAGGTTAAAAAGATGAGAGAGAATCATAAATAGAAGGATAATGAAGAAGTAAATGGCCTCTTGTTTGCCAGAGGAACTGTATTTTAACCCAGAGAATATCTTCAAAAAACAGTTCTAGTTGAGGGAATACTTGCTGTGGTTATGAGTGAGATATCTCCACCTCTCTTGGGTGAGCATAGTAGAAAGAAGTGGCTCTGATTTGTATGTTCTGTGAACTTTGTATTCTTACTGTTCTCTAGAGGAGACTAATTTTTGCCAGGGCCATATTCAGCATTACTAGAAACATTATGTATGAATATAGAAGAAAAAAATCAGCAAGATTTTAGTTCAGGAAAGAAAAAAACAAAACTTAGAAGATGAGGTGATAGTAAAAACATGGTGCTATAAATTATTCTCTTAAAATGAAATGTATAATTATCTTTTTATCATTTTAGTTCTAAATTTCCCAGACCTTTTATCCTGTAGTTAAGACCTTTCTCCTTGATAGCCTTGGCCTAATTTTTCATTTTCCCAAGTTTCACTTTTACCAGCTCACAGTTAGTTTGAATATAACTTAGCTGGGTTTTCAAATGCTTTAGCTTCAGCTGATAAGAGGAAAGTGTGTGTGAATAAGAGTTGATAGAATTAAAACCAGAAGTCCCCTCTCCCTGCATTAGTGATAATAGCCACAAAATAAAATAATAAAAATTATTCATTCAAACCATAACCAAATAATTGTAAACCTCAAAAAATTACAATTTGTGTTATCTTTTCTGTCCTGAGAAACAGAATAGTAATAAGAGTAAGACAAATACAAACTTCAGTTGGTGGGTAGGGGAGAGGGAATGACCAGCACTCAGGTGGGCTGGGACCTTTCCATTTTAAACTCACGCTCCTGCACACCTGTGACATGTACCTAGGGGGTGGTGCAATGGGTTTGTAATGCGACATAGCTGAAAGGTCAATCAGTCGTGTCCGACTCTTTGCGAACCCTTGGACGGAGGAGCCTGCTAGGCTCCATGGTATTTTCCAGGCAAGAACATTGGAGTGGGTTCCCATTTCCTTCCCTGCGACATACGTGTTATCCAAATGCAATCTCCCTAAAAACCCTCACTGTGGGCAGCTACACTTAAGACATTGAGGCTGGTGCTGTCATCTAAAGGGTTTTTGAAATTGTTCTTTTAACCAGTTTTCGAACTCACTTCCTATGCTGTACATGCTTAGTTAGCTTTTTTTACTTGTAGCTCCACAAGCCTTTGAGCCAAAGATTCTTACCTGATTTTATGCTTTAAAAAGGCTTGGCTATTCTCAGAAATTGGCATTCCCACTGGTAAGCCAAACTATGGGAAAATGTAACTTCCTGTTTTCATCTCTTCCATATACTGAAAAAAACAAAAGTTTTATTGTTTGTGATTATTATATAATTTGATAATAGCCAATACTTGTGTACCAGAACAGTGTATAGGTACTTTGTAAATGTTAATTTGTTCATACCTTATAGTAACCATATTTCAGTGTTTTAGAAGAAAATTGGGGGGCACCGAGTGCTAAAGTTATCTGCCCTGGGTTTCACATCTGTTGAGTGATGGAGCTAGGATTTGAACTCTGATTCTGGAGCACAGACAGAGGACCCTGGCGGGTTACAGTCCATGGGGTCGCAGAGAGTCAGACACACCTGAGCACACATGCACACACGTGTGGAGCACAGTAGAAAAACTCTGCTTTTCTGCTTCTCCCACCTGTGTTACATGGGGAAGGAGGCTAGATAGAACCAAACCCAGAAATTCTGTGAGCAAGAGCTCTCACAGAATGCCAGCCCTAGAGATAGCACTGTCAGTATGTGGGCATTGTATTCTCACTTCCCCCTCTCTTTCCTTTATTCCTTTCACCCCATGAGTCCTTACATGATTGGAGTCAAATCTGAAAGACCCGTGAAGTCTTATGAACATCTTTCCATGTCAAGACAGAGCAGCTGTGTTTTATATAGATACTAGCATAACCCTTTTAAGCATTTTTATCTTGGTGAATTTTGGTTTATTGCCCTTTTTTTTGAAATTTTAATGAGTGCTGTGGTAACATATGTTTATTTACACTTAACCCAATTATTGCCTAAGGATAGGTTACTGGAAATGGTACTTCTGGGGCACAGAGTATTTTATTAGAGAGTAACAAAATTTATAAAGTTTATACTCAGACCAAATTGTGTCATTTTAATTTACATTTTTTATTAAGTTAAAAATGTTTTCATTTCTGTGTCTCTCTTGGTGAATTGCTTCTGTCCATTTAAAAATCGAGTAGTTAATCTTGTTCTTATAGATTTATAATAGACCTTTATATTTTGAGCTATTAATTGTAACATAAATATTTTTTTTTCCTTTTGCTCAGTTTTCCAATGTTATTTATGACCTTACAGTACTTTGGTTTTTAAAAATTAGAATTATTAACTATCATCATGCTGAATTATAAGTCTTCTTTTTTAAAAAAAGCAGTTAATGTTATCTTAGAAAAACTGTAAGTAAATAGTTGAAGCAAGTTTTGTGGTTGCTCTTTTATTACCTTTTCTCTGAATATTTTAATTAAGTGTACTCTTATGGTGTCAATTCTTAGAGGGTTTTGAAATAAGATTAATATCGAAGCAGTCTTGTCCAGAATTATAGAGTTAAGCTTTTTGAGCTTAGTATTCCCTACCACTTCCTTAGTTAACTGCCTCTTCAACTTTTCATATGTTTTAGGTATGTCCCACCAGAACAAGCCAAAGTGGTGGCGTCGGTCCATGCATCTATTTCAGGGTCCTCTGCCAGTAGTACGAGCAGCACACCTGAGGTCAAACCACTGAAATCTCTTTTAGGAGATTCAGCACCAGCACTGCACTTAAATAAGGGCACACCTAGTCAGGTGAGTCACTTTTAGGTCTTTGTAGAAGCTTCTATGTAAGGAGGATTGAGTACAATGAATTTGGGAATTAAGACAGTTGCATAATGCTGCTTGTATACCAGTACCATTATGTCCTAATGCTTTATAATACATTAAAAGATACTTGGTTAAGTGGTTGGAGTGTGTCTTTTTTTGTGGGTTTTGCTGTCGCGAATATGAGTTTGTAAAGGTGTACAGGAGCGTTGTCATAGATGTAACATATAGTGGTGAAACATGAATCTGTGGTGACCATCAGAGTTATTGAGAACAGTATAGGCTTTGTGATATACCTTTACAGGAAAGGATTTCTCAAGCACAGAATTTTTTCCCCATCCTGATGGTGAAGCATGTTTATCATTGAAACGCAGGTAGCTTTGCATTACATAACTTATTCTAAAAAACTGAGTAGACTGAAGTCTTTTCAGCAGTTGGTGTCTAGAGCTTGTGCTTCTTTACTTCATGACAGTCAGACGAGTTATGACAAATCTGTTACTGTGTGGCATTATGTCTGTCTTACATAAGAATGATTCTGAAGCATGTTATTATTTGAATTAAATTCCACCCTTTTAAAATATGCATATACTAGGGCAGCTAGATAAATCGCTCCATTTTCACCAAAGCTTTGAGTGAAAAATGAAGAGAAGGGTGAAGTCAGTATATTATAACTCCTCCCTTGGATGTTAGCAGTAAGTCTGCTTTGTGTCATGAGGTGTAACAACGACACCTGCTGTAATTATACTTCATTGCTTTTGACTCTGCACTTAAAAGATAATTATGGACATAGATGTTGAAAATTTGTGCTTTTCAGAAAGCATGGCTCAGATGGCAAAAGCGTCTGCCTGCAGTGTGGCAGACCCGGCTTTGATCCCTGGGTTGGGAAGACCCCCTGGAGAAGGAAATGGCAACCCACTCCAGTACTCTTGCCTGGAGAATCCCATGGACGAAGGAGCCTGGTAGGCTACAGTCCACGGGGTCGCAAAGATTCGGACACGACTGAGCGAAGTGTTTTAAGCTTGGTGAATTGGAGATAGTTTTATAAAAGTTTAGCAAATCTAACTGGAAGCTCTTTGTAGTTAATATGTGGTTTATAGTCCCCTGTTGTAGGTCGCTCCCAAGGGCAGCAGCAGGAAAAGAAGCAGTTTGACCTTTTAAGTGATCTTGGCTCAGACATCTTTGCTGCTCCAGCACCTCAGTCAACAGCTACAGCCAATTTTGCTAACTTTGCACATTTCAACAGTCATGCAGGTAAGTGTTTTTTCCTAGCAGCTTTTGCCAGTGTTTGAATAATCATCAAATTAAATGTGGAGTACTAAATTAAGAATTCACTTGGTCATTTTGAAGCAGTTTTATTTGATAATTTGAGACTTTTCTTTCTTTAGAAAAAGAAGACTTTTTTTCTTTATATTTTTGCATGTGTATATTTCTCTGTTTTATAAATATGACAGAAGCCAGTACTTACTGAATTGGCTTCCTGTTTGCATTTTGGGCCTTACTTTACCTTCTTTTACTCATCTGTGAACTTGTGATGCTCTCTGCCCTTTTTTCCTTTCAGTTTCTTGTCCTGGCTTATAGTTGGATAATAATGGTACAAATTATTTCATGTATATGTATCAAAAAATATGCTGTTTGAGATAATTTGGAAAATTATAGAAAACCTTCAGCCACATTTCTATCAAACATTAAAGGAATTTTTGTTTTAAATATCAATAAAAACATTTTCTAAGACTATGCTACAGAAGGAAGTTGTGGTATGATTTATGTATGTTTGTGTCTGTATGTGTTTAGTTTAAAAAGAGATCCTAGGATGAAGATTTCTTTCAAGAGAGATTACACTGAAAAGGGTAAGAAAGCAGGAAGCTTAAGTTGTTGGGACTGTGGTAGGTTTTCCATGTCTTATATTAGCCAAGGAGCAGAAGTCCAGAGGAGACTGAAAAGAATCTTTCCCCGTCATCCTCCAGGCGGGAAGCCAGTTGTTCCTTCTCTGAGCAGACAGGAGCGCCAGCTCTCTGTTCTCACCTCTTGCTTTTTGAATGATGGTCAAAGCAGTTGGTGGAAGAATCAGTGAATCGAGAGTGAAGCTTCTGTAATTTACGACTATTCTACTTATCTCAATTTTAGGCTTATTGAAATATAATTTGAAATGATAGATAAGTGGCTGCCAAACTCTTATAAATTTTCAGCTTACTTCATGTTTTGTGTGTGTGTGTGGTCTCTGAATGCAATTTGTGAATATTTGCAGGTCAGGGGATTAATGTTACACTTTTCTATGTAGCCGTATTAGCAAAAAAAATAGACAAGTCAGTGTACTCCACAGACTAATTTGTACCGTGATTACCCTTATATTTTCAATAACTCCCTTAAAATGCTTTTTGAAAATAATTGTCATTATTTATTAGTAACATATAAATGTTAAAAAATAGCAATGTATGATTTTATCAGATTGAAGATATCAAATATTGTTTGCCTCTTTTCCACATATGACAAATATAGTAGAGGACAGATATGTCTGTGAGGAAGTAGTTTAATAACCATGTAGATTAGGTCAGGTTGCCTGAGAGTAATAATTTTTTAACCTAAAGTTCTTTTGTTTTTACAAAGGACCACTCAGATTACTCTTTTCTTACCTCATTTGATTCCAGGAGCATAAGAAATATACATGCATATTGCAAGAAAAAGCTAATAAAGTTACTTATTTATTTTCCCTTCTAGTATAGTTGATGCCATCTTTTATTTTTACCTTACGTAGTTTTTAAGTGTAAGCCAATGTCTTGGTTCAATCTGAAATATCTTTTCCCAGAACCTTTGTAAGTACTCTGAATTGTTACTTTTTCATACATGGTTTGCAGATTTAAAATCATTGATAGCTGAATTCTTGCCCTGAAATTCTCATTTCAAAAAAAAATAATAATTGGGTGAAAACTTTCTCCTGAACAGATTGATGTGACAAATGGAACCTTTAATGGCAAACAGTAATTATTCAGATAAGCCAATCTGGCTAGCATTATTTTATAGGAAAACCTGTTCTTTTACAGACAATTTAATGGCTTAAAAACCAGAAGTCTTTACCCTTCTTCATTTGAACATTCTGGCTGAGTTAGTGTGTGTGGATGTGTGTCGATGATGGGGTCAGTATTATGTTCAGGAAAAGTCATCTTCTACATGGCAGTTAGAAACATAATTTACTATGGAATGTAATAGTTATCTTGCCTGGTAATAAACATATCACAGAAACTGTAAACTGTCATTGATTATTGTCACATCTTATACGAGGGATATCAAACTCAATTGCCTTGCCACCCAGTTAACACAGATGAGTAGTGTAATGAATGCACTGTGGAAGGGACCACAGTGTCCCTTTCAGAGGGGGATGTTCTGTAATCTCCTGTTGCCACATGGAAATGCGGGCTTGGGGTTCCTAATATATTGATTCTTTTAAAAGAAGCAAGAAATCTTGTTGAAATGCTCTCTTTAAATGTTAGGAATTGATGAAAATAGTCTAAAATATTGTATAGATGGAATGAAGTCTTTTATCAGATTTTGATGAGAGTTGTTGGCTGCTATCCTCTGGTCTCTACATTTTTATTTTTTTTCACTTTCACATGAGTATCTATTGCTCACTGAAGTATAAAGACAGCTCTCAGCAAGATTCAGGCTCATTGACTTAGTACCTTAAATTCTAAGGTACTGAGTACTTTAGAATTTTGTACTCAGTACAAAAGAGTACTGACTTGACTCTTTTGTACTTTTTGAATAAGATTATATAAAAAGTATCTTTACTGTTTTGTCACATTCTTTTTAGTCTGGATTTCTTTGTGTAGAAGTTATTTGAGGTTCTAGATAGTTTTTGTTTATTGTATTATTAGTGTTTAATTTCGAAGTTGTGTTTTATCAGAGTTTCATTCCATAACACTTATAAATTTTAAAAGTTACTGTAAAAAGTTGTTGAAAACAGTGAGTAGATTCAGTATCTACAAATAAGAACTGATAGAAGTATACAAAATCCTGTTTTGTTGTAATGAATAGGTATTTGATTAGTTTGTTTGGTGCTCTGGTTGGAAAACAATGGGAAGATTATAGATGTGATAAAGTAGACTTGATTAACAAAATGGATTGCATTGAACTAATTTTTTTTCCTGATGTTTAAAACATGTTAAATGTAAGTTTCCCCCATATGATGTTCTAAAGATAAGTTAAATGTTCAGTATGTATTATTATAGACTACATAGGCATATAGATTTGAGGTTATAAGCCGCAAACTAGCTTAGGGACCTGTTCCTGTCTCTGTAAGGGACAGGTGTATTTCACTTGGTGTTTTCAGCCGTACAGCTCAGTGTTCCAGAAACTTGGAAACTTGCCTTTTGGAATACAATCTACTCTGAATTTGAGAACTTCGTATATCATGCTCTCTGTTCGTTTGGTTTACAGTTATATTCTATGCTTTCGCCTTAATAAACTTACTTTGTCTTTTAGAATTTTCTTTGGATTAGCATTTTAAAACTGATGAGAAATTATTCCTATTTTTTCATAAGTTGTAGAATCATAGTGTTGGTTTTACTAGTAGAGACCATCTAATGAATCTTCTCATATTGCTAGTAAGAATACTGGTAGAGCCAGAACAATGAGGGACTAATCAAAGGGTTTACAGTTTCTTATGTTAAGATGGAGTTGTCTGACTCTTATCTTAGATTCCCTTTTCACTAAACTGTACTTGCTTACTGGTGTTGTCAGCAGTTTGTCAGTAACTGTGTTTAACCTTGTATATAATTTAAACCAATATAGATACTTGTTTCAAAATATTTTTCAAGAAATTAATTAAAACATTTTTTAATCTGTTAGTATTTCTTCTATTACATGTATCTTGAGGAAAGTAAAGTTTCAGCCTGTAAAGTTGTCAGAAGTGGTAGGTTGGAAGATGCTGGAAGAGAAAGAAGTGGCACAGATGTGTAGGACAAGGGGGTTGGATCTTCTTTATGTGCATCTCCCCCTGCTCATTATCATACCCATTTAGATTAAAAAAAACAGCAATTACAGGAGATGCTGTAAGTTTTACTGATTTTCTCCCTAGAATAATGGTTTACTTTGTTAGCAGACAGTTTTTTTTCTTAGTGACTTCTCTTGGCTTGTTGCCTCTCAGCCCCCAGGGAAGCCCAGGTAGAGTACAGATTCACTGAAAAAGCGTGGCAGGTTCAAGCCATGACACCCACCTGAAATCTCACTACTTCATTTAACTAAAACACAGATTTTATGTGCACATGATATCATGTTTAACGAAATTAGCTCATGAAGATGATCTGGAATTTGCTAGCCTATTTATCTTGTTTACTTTGCTATAAGTATTTTTGTATAGCGCTAAATACTCTACATGATTTTTTTTTAATAGCTACATTATATTCCATTGTGTGATGTTCCTTAATTAAGTAGTCCCTAATTGCTGGCCATTTGAGTTTCTAATTTTTCATTATTATAAAAAATACATTGTTTCACTATTAGAATTAGCTGTATGCTCATTTGTAGTAGTTTTACAAAAACTGCCTCAAAATAGAATTGCCTGCCAAGGAATTTAAAGTGGCTCTCACTTTGTTGGTGACATAGAACCTTTCTCCATCTTTTGGACATCCTTTTCATTCTTGGTATTTAGCATTCACTTTCCTGCATATGAACCACTTCTTATTCTTATCCTCTATAAAAATCTTATCCAGCATCTGTTTTGGCCTTTGGAAGAGTCTTTTGCTTTGCCTTACATATTTTAACTTTAGAGAAGCCTAGGACTTTGCTCTTAGATTGGTTACCAGTTGGGAAATGCCAGTTGGTCTTTTTCAGTAGGTTTGAGATATATTTATGGTATAATTTTTACTAGTTTTTATTGTTTCTTAAGTTAATGTGTGTTTTAAAATGACAGGCTCCTAATAAAATATGAGTTTTTTCAGTTTATTTGATGATCATGTCCATCTTTTGTATACGTGCTTTTTTTAAAAGTATGCTATGATGTAACATAGTTGTAAGCTTAAAAACAACAAAAATTTTTAATGTAATGAAGCCATTTTTATATGATTCATGTAACTGGTGAATTACCATTTTAAATCTCAATTTTCCAAATGTATCCTGTATCCCGCATCTCTTGTCTGCTTTACTGAAACTTGTATTATTTAGAGCTGTTAATTCAGAGTTTCCTTTAATAGAGTCACTTTATAGTACTATTCCTGATGTCGCTCAAAGGCTCTTTGTGTACAAATTTATCATTGTCCTGGATGCCCTTTGATGAATTGCTTGCAGTTGGGTGAAATAAACATTTGTAGAACTTAATCTGATTTCTAAATGAATTTTCTTTAAGTTATGAAACATGGAAACTTTCTTAAAATTCTTAAACTCATTTATCATATTTTTCATTTATAATTTTCATATTCATTAACATGTATTATTCCTTACCATTTACAGCTCAGAATTCTGCAAATGCAGATTTTGCAAACTTTGATGCATTTGGACAGTCTAGTGGTTCGAGTAATTTTGGAGGTTTCCCCACAGCAAGTCACTCTTCTTTTCAGCCCCAAACTACAGGTAGAGCCTCTCCAGCATTATGATTAAATGTTTACTTTAAAAAATAGAATACAACTCTGTAGATATGTTTTGGAAAATTATTCTAAACTTAAATTCTGTGATTATCTGGTTTTAAAATAGTTCTGTTTTACGAAGCTCTGGGGAAACCTGAAATCTTTATATTTTTTTTTATTTGTTTTTTTGGACACTAGTGTTTTGTCTAATTCACGTCTGTTCTCCTTTTCCTGCACATGAATCTTTCTTAAATTTCTTACAGAGACATTAAAGTAGTAATAGTTTTTTAGGTTCACAAAATATGTTTTGATTTAATTTAGGCTCTAAATAAAGGGAAGCTAGTTAATTATTTCCATAGAACTAAAAATGTAAGTCATTTTCAGGGCAACAAGCTTCAGAAAATAATTGGTTGAGTAGATTATTTTAATAATCACTTTGATAAACTTCAAATAGTTTTCTGTGCAGGAATTGGTCTTTAAACATTGAATACTTACCCATAAGCTGTATTATTTTCAGAAACTCATTGAACCTTTGTTTAGATCTTTGGCTGATTGCTTTTCTTTCAGCTTTTAACTCTGTATTGTCTTAAAACCTTTTCTTTCAACTTTCTTTTTTTTCTTTAAATTTCATCATTTACATAATTTCTGCCTGTCCAGCATTTAGAATGCTTTCATCTAGCTGCAGTTTTGGTGAATTTACTTCAGCTTTTCCTCTCCAGGCTTCCAACAGTAAGTTCTGTTGTCAAGTAGGCATCTTTTACTAATTTGTATGCTTAATGGTATATTTTATAGGTTTTTCAGTTACAGAATTTTAATCATCTTTTCATGATAATTCTCCATAAGTTCTCACTTTTACTCTCCTCACTATTGCTAAACTCGGAGAACACAATAATATACAGTAACAGTTGCTTTAATAATTTTTATTAATTTGAAATAACTTTTCTTCATACAGATTTTCAAAACTTAGTATGTGCTTTGTTCACCAGTTCCTTGTAACAGATCACAGTCTTTTAAATACAGACATTTAGTTTTAATCATAAACAAATAGAGTTTAATTTCTGTAAGACATCTATTTGTTTTAGAATGTATAAAAAACTGATTGATGGAAAGTGTTTTTTTTTTTTAATAGGGTGTAATCTTTCTTTTTCTGAAATACATTTAAGTGTGTTGCTCTCAGTTTAATCTATAACTGTATATACACGTATCTATATCTACTATCTTGATTGTTGAAACTAATATTTAGGTATAAAGAACAAACATCAAAAGTATAGCATCAGAAGCATAGAATGAATATATACTGGTTTTTAGTGTTTTGGTAGTATGTTAGGGAAGATTCTAGAATATAGAACAGTTTTTAAAAATCTTAGTAGGATAAAGTTGATGTAGTATTTATATTATTTATATATTATGTGCTCTTATTTTTTCCCTGAAATATATGTTAGCATAATTTTACCGAAGACATTGTAGTGTTGTGTGTACATTAAATTATTATGTGGAACTGAGTAGTAGCTCTTCAAGTACAATAAAACTGGGTAGCGTGGAGACTCTCCTGTGAATTATTTTGTTCATTCCGGGATAGGTAATTACGTAATTACACATAGGAGCTTGTTGCCCTATAGGTTGTCAGGACCTTTGAACATCTAGTTTTGCAGATTGTGAATAGTCATGTGTAGATGATTCAAGTTGAATGCCATTTGCCAGTTTTTACTTTTAAGAATTTAGAATTGTTTATAGGAAACTTAATTTAAGAAGAAGTGATCATTTAATCTATCAAAGGATATTGGGAAAGTCTTGCAGTTTCAAGTTTTCTGTCTATTCTATTACAGGTGGAAGTGCTGGATCAGTAAATGCTAATTTTGCTCATTTTGATAACTTCCCCAAATCCTCCAGTGCTGATTTTGGAACCTTCAGTACTTCCCAGAGTCATCAAACAGCTTCAGCTGTTAGTAAAGTTTCAGCGAACAAAGCTGGTCTACAGACTACAGACAAATATGCGGCACTTGCTAATTTAGACAATATCTTCAGTACTGGGCAAGGTATCAAGCTTTAAAGAAAAGAATACAGATTTGTATATTAAGCAGTCTTCTACATTTGGTTGTATTTATTAAATTCTGAGGATGCTTTTCTTCGTTGTGTATAGGTTTTATCTACACTAAATGTTCGTAACTATTTAGTACATTTTGGATCTGAAATAACAACACGGTAGAAAGCCTAGAAACTAGTTTGTACACTTATAGATTTAAAAGAAAATAATTGACAAAAATTTAATTTTGTCTTAGTGTGCTTTATTGTTTTAAAGGCCAGAAGGGTCGAGATGACTAGAGGATTATTTGGTGGTTTCTATGATATATTAATTTTGAACTATTTTCTATTACTATTTTAGTATTTATTTAAAAAGAAAGCATATTTGCAGTGTATTTTTATACCCAGTTATGGTCGTAAGGCTAGTATTTTTGCCTCTCAAAGTGCATAGGGTAGTAAAGAGAACAGCCAGGGTCTGCTTTCAGACTGGTTTCTGCATTCTGGTCTCTGAGCCTGATTTCTCATCTCCCCTCCAAGAGTAATAGAAGTAGCATTTGACTTAAAAAGTTGTGTCGTATGTGTTACTGCATGAGAGGTATTTAGAACAGCGTCTGATGCATAGTAAGTGTTATCTTATTACTATCTCTTAATTTTTTCCTAAACAACCCTGGGAAGATATTATTAATAGATTGAGTTCACATAGGTCCAGCATTCAGTTCAGTTCAGTCCAATCGCTCAGTTGTGTCTGACTCTTTTCGACCCCGTGAATCGCAGCATGCCAGGCCTCCCTGTCCATCACCAATTCCCGGAGTTTACTCAAACTCATGCCCATCGAGTCGGTAATGCCATCCAGCCATGTAATCCTCTGTCGTCCCCTTCTCCTGCCCCCAATCCCTCCCAGCATCAGGGTCTTTTCCAATGAGTCAGCTCTTTGCATGAGGTGGCCAAAGTATTGGAGTTTCAGTTTCAGCGTCAGTCCTTCAGTGAACACCCAGGACTGATCTCCTTTAGGATGGACTGGTTGGATCTCCTTGTAGTCCAAGGGACTCTCAAGAGTCTTCTCCAACACCACAGTTCAAAAGCATAAATTTTTTCAGCATTAGATGAGTGTATATGTGCGTTTGGTTGAGTTGTCCCCATATTGCAGATTTAATGTAGCACTTTAAGAATTTCCTTCTTATATGTAACCTAGACATTTCGTTGGTACCGGGTCTTAGTTTTTATTTCAGAAACAGTATTCTATTTTTATCAGAGTGGAATGTATAGCACTAAACTTGTCCAGTATTTTCTGGAGTATTTATTTATTAGGTAAGACTCTAGAGTCATGTCCATTTATTTGCTAAGCTCCAAATCAGTTTTAAATTCACACGTCATGGCAAATGTGGTGGGTAAATTGAAAGGATAAGTTAGGCGTCAGGTAAAGTCTGATCTGATTTGTCTCTGTTTGTTTGTAGGTGGTGATCAGGGCAGTGGGTTTGGGACCACAGGGAGAGCCCCTGTTGGCTCTGTGGTTGCGGTCCCCAGTCAGTCAAGTGCGTCCTCAGACAAGTACGCGGCCCTGGCGGAGCTGGACAGTGTCTTCAGCTGCGCTGCCACGTCCAGCCAGGCCTACACGTCCACAAGTAACGCTGGCAGGTAGCTTGTCGCTGTCTCGTGTTCTGTGCTTGAAGCTTTTTTTCAACTCTGAATAATAATGTTGTTAAGTAATCGCTATTTGGGGCTTAATTTAAAAGATTCTTGAATATTTTCCTAAGCTTGAAGAAAGTTATGAGTTTACATTTTCTAATTAAAATATGCTCCTTGAGTAATTACCATAGGTGATTTTCCATAGTTTTATACTTCTTATTTAATCAAAAGTACTTTTTCCCCTTGAATGCTGAAATGTAAGTTAGAGTATATACACATCTTGAAATGGATGTGTTAAATTGTTAAATACAAATTTAATTATACTCAGAGAATCCATTTACAGAATTACTTACTTTTAAGGTACAATTCTTAGTCATGAAGATTAAACACTAAAGTAACATGTTGTAGTCTGAGTTGTAAGTAAAGTTTTAGAAAGATTTGCACCAGAACCCAAGATTAATCCTGTATCTTTTCTCTCTACTGGTATTTATAAATAGATGTATCTGTTACAGTGTTTGTATATGTCTGGTGTAAGGAATTCTTGGCAGAAGAGAGTCTACCACATTTTAAAAACATTTGATCTTTAAAAACTCTTCTAGTTTTTTGACTTCTTTTTGGGTCAAGGAAGCAGACCCAGAAGTATAGGTGACTTACCTGTACAGTGTCTTCCTTGATTTTTCATTCCTATAGATTGTCTCTTTTATCTGAGTAACTTTTTATTTCCTTTTGGCACCTTTTCCAGAAAGAAATGATAGGTTTGCAACACTAGTTAGTTGGGCTCATTCTCCAGTAACAAATTTTCTGTATGGCAGATGGGAAAAATTGAATCCAAAGAATAATATTCAGAGTATTTCTGTATTTCTGCTTTACTAATATTGTCTACATTAGACATATAAAATACTGAACTATAGCAAGGTGGTCATAAAGTCTGGAAACACAGACAGGTATATGTAATCAATGGTTTATTGGTATTACATTATAATCATAAGTGGTCCCCAGAGTATAATACATGGAATATTTGAAGTACCTGAGACCCATTTGAAAGGTCTGTCAGGTTAAAACGAAATTCATAATAATTCTGAGTGGTTGTTTGTGTTTTCGTTAGTTGACATTTGTATTGATGGTATAGAAACTCTTAATAGGTAAAACTCGGTGGTGACTTCGCATTGGATGGCTCCAGTGCTAGGCCGTACAGGCAGTCATCTAAGAGTCATTCCTTGCTACCACACATTCAGTTTTATTTAGGAATATTTTTGATTCAGTTTTTATTATGAATATGCTTGATGAAGCAGTGTAAAGGAATTTAATTTTATTAAGTCTAGACCCTTAAATATGTCCTAATTTTCTGTGTATTGAAGTATGGTATGCATCAGGTAGTTCTGCCATATACTGAAGTATAAAGCTATCTTGAAGAAAATCAACTTGTGTGGTTTTTTGAGTTGTGGAATGAACCAGCTACTTGTTTTATGGAACACCATTTTTTCTTGAAAGTATGATTGCTACACAAACCATGGTTATTCAGATTTGGATATTTGTTAGATATTTTCTCAAAAATGAAATTTTAAGTCTGTCACTTTAGGGAAAATAATGGCTAAAATACACACTCTCAAGCAACTAAGTAGAATTTTGGAAAATTTATTAGCCACCATTAGCTTAAAATTAAGCTTCCTGTTGCTTTTCTAATGAGATGGATGGTGATATTAATGGTTGTTTTTTAATTTTGCATAAGGAAATATGTTGACATTTTGAAGATTGGCATCAAGTATTTTCCAAATGATACAAAAGTAATAAAAGATTCATTTAAAGTGTAAGATAGACTACTGGATATTACTTTAAGAGAGTACATCAGAGTTCATTGATACGGTTTCAGATTCCATATCACAGCTGTTGTTGAGTCGCGAAGTTGTGTCCAACTTGAAAACCACATGAATTGCAGCATGCCAGGCTTCCCTGTCCTTCACCGTCTCCAGGAGTTTGCTCAAACTCATGTCCATTGAGTTGATGATGCTATCCAACCATCTCATCCTCTGTCCTTCCCTGCTCCTCTTGTACAGATATGAGAGTTGGACCATATTGCGGCTAACCTTTAGGAAACTGTAACTGTTGTTTTTGGAATGATATCAAGCAAGATATACATAGTTATCTGGAAAAGGTGTTAAAATTCTCTTGTTTCGTTCAATTGTGATGCCATGTGAGGCCAGTTTTTTTGTCATATGCACCAAGCTAAACAACATATTACAACAGATTGATCATCTATTAAGCCAGCCATTAAAGAGATTTGTGAAAGTATCACATATGAAGGGCTTTATTGTTATTTTCAGATTAAGTTTCTGATTTAGTTGATGTACTATCTATTGGTAGATACAGCATCTTGAAACTTCGGGGTTCTCATTTTTTAAGAATGTAAATGAATTCTAAGACTTAAAAGTTTGAGAGCTGATGTGATACATGATATGTTCAATATTATTTGTTTCCATATTTTATGGCAACCCTGTTGTTAGATTACCTTTGCTCTTTTCCCCTCTCAAAATATGAATTCTTTCAATACTTGTTTTCAGTAATGTTTTTGGAACAGTACCAGTGGGTGCTTCTGCACAGACACAGCCTGCATCTTCAAGTGTGCCTGCTCCATTTGGAGGTATGTGTTTCTGGTATATATTAGTTTTTATATGGAGTCCAAACATACATATATATATAGTATTGCATTTTCTTAGGGATACCAGAAGATGATCAAAGCACCAGTTTATTAATCAGAAAGCTCTAATTTTCTGTCTTCATAAATATATGAACAAATACTTTAAATAATTGCATACAAATGCATTAGGATTTTATAGTGTATCTTATAATTTTTTAAAGCTACACCTTCCACAAATCCATTTGTTGCTGCTGCTGGTCCTTCTGTGGCATCTTCTACAAATCCATTTCAGACCAATGCCAGAGGAGCAACAGGTAAGAAATGTAAATTACAGAACAGTAAACTTTGGGAAAGGTATATACTGCAAAGACACTATGTGAAGAACATTAGAAAATAAGGTTCCTTTCTTACTGAAGTGACTGTGGAGTGGATTAGTTTCGTCCATGAGAACATATGCTGGCTGAAAGTGTATAGAATCCTAGAACCTAATAGTTGAAAATGGACCATGGAAGTTACCTAGCACCCACCACTGAAAGCTTTCGCTTTTTAGGTGTGGAATCAAGCATAGAAATGAGAGTTAAAGCCTTAACTCCACATTGCCGGTTCTTGACAGAGATAGTTCTTGAACATTATAATTCTGACTTATTTGTTGATCAGATTTCACAATTATTGATTATAACTCAATTGAAAAAATGTGTCAGTTTTTTTTTCCTTTGCTTGGGATTGCAAGGACTGGATGGATTTTATTACTGATACATGAGATGTTGATAATGAGGTCTTTTTCCAGTGCATATATCTTTTAGGGTTGTTAGCATTTTTGGGGGGGTTGTTGAAACTGGTTTAATTTGGGATATAATAATTTGAATATTTTCTTTTTATAATTAAAAAAAAAATCCTCTTTACTCCTCCCCCTCTTTTTTCTTTTTGATTCATATTGTAAGCTAGCTACATATTTCTTAGATTTTGCCTCTTTGATTTTTGTCTTATTACCCTGAACACCAGAGTTATTTGCCAGTACCTTGGAGTGTTAGCAGGTGCATGTAGTATGACCCGGTGCCTATTAAGCTGAATTTGTCTGATTTTAGATTTAGATAACTTTAGAACTAAAGCCTTAAACTTGACTTATAGCATATGTTGATGTGATATTTTGAGAGAGTAAGGTGCTTATAACATCACAATATAAATTTGCACCATTAAGAATTACTAATTACTAGCACATCTTTTTGTCATTGGCAAGGTTGAGAACTGTAATATTGGAAGTTTGAACCATAACTTCCATTTTCATATAATGTCTTCATTCATAATCTGTTGCTTTCTCATGGAATACATGTTATATAAGTATTTGAATTTTGCACATAATTAATGATTTATTTTCATTCAAATACATATAAATACAGTATGCTTAAACATAATCATGATTATTTCAGATTGCTGTTGTGTTTTGGAAAAAATATACTATTCATTACTGATGATGTATATAGTATTTCTGTTTCTGAGCATATTATTTTGACTTCATGGAATGAATTTTTAAAATGTCTCATGACATGGGATTTTGTACATTGTCTCATTTAGTCCTCTTAACTCTTCATCAAATGTTTTAATCACTCTTTGACAGCTGAGATGACTGAGGCTCAGGGAAGTTAAGTGCGTATGTTTTGGATACAGCCAGATTTCTGTTCAAATCCTGGTTTAATATTTACTTACTAGGTAATCCTAAAAATGCTTTCTGTATGTTATTTTTTTAATGAATGGAGGAAAAGTGATAGGAAAATACATTATTTGCAGTAATAATAATAACTGTTGAGATGTCTATAGCTTTTTTTATAACCCCATTTGACAACTGAAGGATTTAAACATTTTATACCTTGACCACGGTCATGTTGATCTAACTCCTCTGAACTTTATTGTCTTTTTCTGTAGAATGTGAACTTCTGTCAGGGATATTGTGAGAATTAGATGATGCAGATCACTTTGCATTGTCGTATATCGTTGGGGGGGGAGGGTGTGTGTGTGTGTGTGTGTGTGTGTGTGTGTGTTTAGTCGCTCGTTGGGGTGTGTGTGTTTAGTCAGTTGTGTCTGACTCTTTTTGGTGTGTGTGTGTGTGTGTGTGTGTTTAGTCGCTCGTTGGGGTGTGTGTGTGTGTGTTTAGTCACTCAGTTGTGTCTGACTCTTTGACCCTATGGACTGGCCTGCCAGGCTCCTCTGTCAATGGAATTCTCCAGGGAAGAATACTATAGTTGTCATGGCCTTTTCCAAGGGATCTTCCCAGCCCAGGAATTGAAGCTGTGTTTCTTACATCTCTTGCATTGGCAGGCAGGGTCTTTACAACTAGTGCTACTTGGGAAGCCCATATACTTGGTAAATCATTCCTGTTATTTTTCTTTTGTGATTGTACCTCCAGACTCGTTCTGTTATTAGAGTTAAGGATTATCACTCCCCACCCCCGCCGTTATTTAGAGTACAAAAGTCCTTTAAGTTAAGGTTCTATATAAGACGTGAAATAATGTAAAGTGTACAAAGTAAAGTGTAAAAATTATATCTCAAAAAGCTTGTTCAGATAATATGAAATAGTTTTTTTTTCCCATTTATTTTTATTAGTTGGAGGCTAATTACTTTACAAAATGATATGAAGTAGTTTTAATATTAGTCTAGGCAAAATTTATTGAAAGATGAATCTATTATGTCCACGAAGTTTTATTTCAAGGTAAAATATCTTTTCTGTTGTAAACCATTTTGATTTATCACATTGATCATCTTATTGAATTGACTAAGTCAAAGTAAATGTTACCTATGTAATATGTTTCTGTTAAAGCTGAAATATAAACAACACTTTGACAAATACACTATGCTTAAGTACTTCCAGTGTTTTATATCATCAAACTTAGTATTCTTTAGGAAATAGGTTTTGTTGTTGTTCTCAAATATATTAGCATTGTTAAATTCCATTTGAGGTAGCTTTTTAAAGAGGTATTGAATAATAGTCCTCTGCAAACTATTTAGAAAGATTTGCTGATACATTTCATTCTTAAAATGCACATTTTAATAATAATTTTTTTTCCTGCATTTAATAGCTTTTGGGCCTTCTTTTACCACGTTACATAGAAACCTTCAAAAAATTTGCCAATGTGGCCTAAGACTTTTTTTTTAGGATTCTATAGTATTTAGCATTCTGTTTAGAATAGAGTCCTTGAACCCTTTAATTCATAAAGTTAATATAGTTTTATAGTTTTCAGTTATTAGGACATTTCTCTTAAATCTGTGCTTTGCCCTGAATGAGTACCCTTTACTTTCTGATATTCATTTACTGGATAAATGAATGATTTTAAAAGTCCCCCCCCAAAGAAATAAACTTGTAGAAATGTAGAACCAAAAGAATCATGGTAGCATCTAGCCAAGCATCGTCATTTTATTACTTAGGTGGAGACCAATTAGATGGATTTGCCTGATTAACCAATGACTAGTATTAGTCCCAGAGTGTTTCTAAATCAGCACTATTTCCACCGGTTCCACTCATTTCACTTATAGGAAAGTAAATGAAATATATATCCTTACAAGAACTTGTATACAAATATTTACAGCAGCGTTATTCCTAGTAGTCAAAAGGTGGAAACAGACTTGGCTCAGCTGAGGTGGCTCAGTGGTTATCCGCCTGCGGTCAGGAGACGAGGATTTGATCCCTGGGTCAGGAAGATCCCCTGGAATTGGAAATGGCAACCCACTCCGATATTCTTGTCTGGGAAATCCCATGGACAGAGAAGCCTAGCAGGCTCCAGTTCTTGGGGTCTCAAGAGTCGGACACAACTGAACACGGAAACATCCCAGGTGCCCATCCACTGATGAATAGATAAAGCAAATGTGTATAGCTGTACAGTGGAGTTTTTTTTGATGTACTGATACATGGTACAGTGCGGATGAACCTAGAAAACAGCAGGGAAAATAAACGATGCTGGTCACAAAATGTCATATAATGTGTGATTCTATTTATAACCTGTCCAGAATGGACAAACCTATAGAGACAGAAAGGAGATGGGGCAAAATGGAGAGCTGATAGGTGTGGTGAGGGGGGGGTGTGAAAATGTTCTAAAATTAAATTGTGGTGATGGTTGTACACCTGGTGAATGTGCTTTTAAAAAAGGACAAAACACTGAATTTTTACCCTTTAAGTTGATAAATTGTATGATATATGAATTATAAATCAAAAAGCTTGTTAAAAACAAGTCTAAAATATTTTGATAGCAGCCCAGGACTAGGCATCAGTGTTACAGATTGAGTATTGCAATTAATACCAGTTAACAATCAGTGTTGACTAAAAGTCAGGTTCACCAAAGTGTATTATGTAGAACATGTCTCCTGAGGTGATATTATCACAGTGCTTCGTGGGAAGGGGTTCTGTGCCCAAAAGCATATGGGAAGTGCTGAGTTAGTAACACAAAATTGAACCAGTATTATTAATGCACGATTTCTCAGAGCTTGTAACATGCTCTAAGAATGGATATAAACATAAAGTGACCAAGCTTGTTTATCATAGAACCCTTCCACCTCAGTCAACCTTTTGTTGAATTTATAACAACCTATAAACAGCATCTTTTAAGTTAGCAAGAAATAATAACAGATTCATTGAATATTTACTCTGTAGTACTTTTAATCACAGCCGCTTTGTAAATTAGGTACTACTGTATCTGCCTCTCCATCCCTTGTTTGCAAATGAGGAAACAGGCTTAAAGAAGTTGTGGTGTCCTGTAATTGGAAAACAACAGAACCAAGACTCAAAATGACTTTCATATCTCAGTTGTTGTTTTCCCCCAAATTTAGTTAGTTAAGTATGCTTCTTTAAAATGCATGGACATGTATTTTTAGAAACAGTCCCACTCCAGATAGTTTAAACAGTGCTTCTAGTACTTAACCTAAATTTGATTTCTGTTGGGTACTTTTCTTTACATTTAACCTGTCTGACCTCAGTCATGCAGGTTAAGATCTGCACGGGATGAATTTCTCTTTTCAGCCATCATATTTTAAACTGAAAGTGCTGCTCACCTTTTTAATGGAGTCCACTGACTAATATTCCCTGAGTAATTTGTTCACTTGAGTTATCTTTACTATTTTCTAGTTAAGGTATGGAGTTGAAAATAAAACACATTATTCAGGTGCTTTCTCTGAGATTTGACTTTTAAATGCTAAGAGGTAGATGCTAGATCATTTTAGTTGATTCTATGAATAGCATTTTTGGGTGTAACTGGTGAGGCCTAGAAAATCATTTTATGTATATTGTTACATCTTCACGTGAAAAAAAAATGTTAGTGTTTATTTAAAAGCTGGATTTCGTAAATGTTTCTTTGTTTGATATTTGTTTTTCTGGTATTATTCTAATCTCTTTGTTTCAAATAGTGTAAATACTAGTATCATGAATATAGTTGAAGTAAGGACTCTGTGGGTGCGTTTTTATTATGTATTCTTATGTTATCTCCTTTGTAACAAGTGTATTCCAATTTTAGAATTTTTTAATGAAACAAATTTATTTTGACAATAGTTACTCATAATTTAATTGACACTGGTCTCTTTATGGCTTTCCATAAGGCCTTTCTGGAGCAATGCATTCTCAAGTGTTTCCTCACGCTCATTTTGGTAGGTGGCCACAGCTAATACCTAGGTTTGTGTGGCAATTTGTCTACCTGCTTGTGGAAGCTTCTGCTAGTGTTCTGGATCCCTGCATGTGAAGTTAAGTTTTTTCCATGTTTTAAAATGGAGTGGGCATGGATGTGTGGCATTGGGAATAACTTATATTTTAAAGTTACATGAAAATTTTCTGTGGTAATTTATGTTTTAATATTGAAAAGCATATTGCTTACCTCCATGGTCACATTAGAATGTTAATAGCTCTTTTGATTATTTTTCTTAAGTTTGAATTCATAGTACTTTGAGTGACACACCTTTTCTATGTACCAAACCATTTTACCACATTATTCCATGGAGTTTGGCTTTGCTTAACTGTAGCCAACTTTTGCTTTATACTGCTTTCTTAAAAAGTGATCTGTCAAAGTTACCTCATTGTATTGTTGTCTTGTTCTGAAACCCTTCTGTTTCCCTTGCAGTGTGCTTATTATTCTTTAATTCACTTGCTTCCCAGTGGCTTAGTTTCCTTTTTCTTACGAATAATAAAAAGTAATGCTTAAAATTTTACGATCTAATTAGGTTCACTGTGGAGAATTGCACTGTTACAAATATTAGGATTATGAGAATTACTTTGAGCAACATCCATAACAGATTTTTAATTTTTTAATAAAAGATAATTCTATATAGCATGTTTAGCATTAATTTCAGTGCCTTACGTCAGCATTCAAGTTGGTAATTTTTTTTCTTAGAATCAGAAAATGCAGTGAATTATGTTGTTTGATAACATAATGCTGAAAATGCTTCACTGTGTAATTGCCAGTATTCTGTAGTAAAAGCAACGTTGTTGGCTCTTCTTTCCTAGAACATGTAGTTGAAAGGTTCTGTTTTGAATCATTAGCAAAAAGTAATATATCGTTCTGCTACTATGTGTGTTTTTATATGAGTAGTATAATAATGTAATATGAATTCATAAGTCATTTGTAAGTGGGGGGTGATGGCAGCATACCATATGTGTGTGTGTATATATATATATGTGTGTATATATATACATATAAACATATGTATATATATATATATAGCTGTAGTTCACACACAGATTTCCCCAACCTGTGAATAAATGCTTCATTCCATGATGTTTTGGTGACTAGATATGGCAGGCCATGGTAGTTATTGGGTACAGTGTCATTAATCCCTACATTCTTTGCCTCTTTTAAGAATGCCTATTTCACTTTCTGTTCAGTTTTTGTGTACTTTGCCCCAGTTTCTATAACTCATTGGTCCTAATATTATCTTCCTTATACCCCTTATGCAAAGAAATCTTCATTTATTTATACTTTTCAAAAAAAGAATGGGAGTCCATATAGTGTAATTGTGTTAATGCTTTTATTAGGATTATTCCCCCATCCATTTTTTGACTATGGTTACAAAGCTGCATAGGTTTTGGGTGGCCTGCTTGCAGACCCTATTTCTCCTGTAAGTTTTATTTTTAAGTGGACTATTTTGCAGAGGTTTTTCCAGGAATACATATACTACATTATAGCAAACAGTTCACTAGATATTATTAAATGTTTGACTATTTTACTGTGTATAACAAAGCAAAACTTAAAAATGTATATACTAGTATACATGTGAATTGCATGATGATGGACTGCTATTTAGACTCAAATTTATATAATTACTTGGAGAGGTTTACTTATGATTTCAAATGATAGCTTTTAGCTTACATTAAAATATGGCACTAAAACTTGCTATTAAGTTTGTTGGAGTTTTGGGATTTAAAATACATCTTTCTATTTTTAAGGTAAATGATGTCTATTTTACATTGCTGAGTATGAGTATAGACAACCTCCCTTTTCGTTTGTAAGTGATCAGCGTTTCCTTCTCCCACCAGCGGCAACCTTTGGCACTGCATCCATGAGCATGCCTGCCGGCTTCGGGACTCCCGCTCCCTATAGTCTTCCCACCAGCTTTAGCGGCAGCTTCCAGCAGCCAACCTTCCCAGCCCAAGCAGCTTTTCCTCAACAGACAGCTTTTTCTCAACAGCCCAATGGTAAGAGCTAACATTTGGCTGGTGCCAAGTTCATCGCAGGTATCCTTTATTTATCATAACTTGAATGTTTGGACAAAAAGATTTATCTAAAGAATGCTCTAGTGTTATCTACTGAGTGTTTATTACACAGATATTCACACCTTTGGTGAGTTAGGCCACAGAAAATTGAGTGATTTAGTAAGTTTTTGCGACCAGATTACAGATTTGGGAGGAATCTGAGGCTAAAGAGTACCTCTTCTTTCTCAGGATCTTCAGTATCTTTCTTGTATGTTCTGTGTTATAGTATGCTTCTTGCTTTTAAAAGAAAACTTTATAGACCTAGAGTGTTTGCTTTGCATTGGAGAACTGTTAATTTTCTTCCATTTATAGTATATATTGTGTTGTTTGTTGGTGGTGTTGATGACATAGATTAAAGGTAACTGCGTTGTAGTTCAAGTTTGTTACTTGTTTTCAGGAAGATTCACTAGAGTAAGTTTTCAGTTTTTGTTTCTGTTTTTGTTGTTGTTTTTTTTTGTTTGTTTTGGGTGGATTTTTTTGTTTGCTTTTTGCCTGTTCATTTGCTGAAGTTTGAAATCCCTGGATCATAGCCCCTCTTAAGTAGTACAGATTCATCTTTTGATTAAATCCTTTGTCAGCAATTTACATAGCTGGGACAGACTGGAATTAACCACTTCTGGGGAGTCGAAGTAAGCTCTTTAAGACATGCCACTGAAACTTTTAACTTACTTTGAAGAACATGAGACTCAACAAGTTAACATTGATTTTTTTAATTATTGTTGCTCTGGTGGGGATTTTTCTGAAACTCCTTGATTGTCTCTCAAAGGTATAGGTTATTATAATTGTTGGTTTTTTTTTTTTAAACAAGGTGCAGGTTTTGCAGCATTTGGACAAACAAAGCCAGTGGTAACCCCTTTTGGTCAAGTTGCAGCTGCTGGAGTGTCTAGTAATCCTTTTATGGTAAGTGAGATGCAGTTTTTAAGCACTTTGTAAGTCATTGCATTGTTTTTGTTTTCAGAGTGAGAAAAGCAGGATGTGATTCCTCCCAGATGCAAGATTGTACAAATCGAGGCAGCCATTGTGTACAATCCTTTGTTGAATTAAGAAAACACATTAATTAGCTGGAAAGCAAAACATTGACAGTAAACTGTTGTATACATGAAACTTGTATGCTTTCTTATCAAAATTCTGCTTTATGAGAGGCTGCTGATTTAGTACCACGGTGAAAAAGGAATCTTGGAGTCAGATTTGGTTTGAGTTGTAAATGTACTTTTTAGGACCAATCCCTTCTTGGAATCTGTTAACAGAATTATCTGAAGTAATGGATATAAAAGACACAACACAGTGCCTGGTAACCTATACCTGTGTTAATGTTGCTAATAACAGTAATTGTTGTTCAGTCACTAAGTCATGTTCCAACTCTTTATGACCCCACAGAATGAAGCATGTCCAGCTTCCTGACCTTCATGGTCTCTCGGAGTTTGCTCAAACTCCTGTCCATTGAGTCGGTGATGCCATGCAACCATCCCATCCTTTGTTGCCTCCTTCTCCTGCCTTAATAATAGGAATGAATAAATATGGTTGCCAGTAATTATAAAACCCTAATCTAAATTGGAGAAGGAAATGCAACCCACTCCAGTACTCTTGCCTAGAAAATCCCATAGAGTGAGAAGCCTGGTAGGCTACAGTCCATGGGTTTGCAAAGAGTCAGACATGACTGAGCGACTTCACTTAATAATACTTAATCTAAATACTGTTAACTTAAAAATATTATTATTTTCTTATTTTCCCACACACTCTTGTCTGTCTATTTATTTTGTCTTATGTTTTCCTTTAGACTGGTGCACCAACAGGACAATTTCCAACAGGAAGCTCATCAACCAATCCTTTCTTATAGCCTTATATAGACACTTTACTGGAACGAACTTTTACATGGTCACATTACATCTCTCCGCCTCTTGCACTGTTGTCTTGTTTCACTGATCTTAGCTTTAAACACAAGAGAAGTCTTTAAAAAGCCTGCATTGTGTATTAAACACCAGGTAATATGTGCAAAACAGAGGGCTCCAGTAACAACTTTTAACCTGTGAATTGGCAAAAAAAAAAAAAAAAAAACTAGCGGTATCATGTATATTAAAAATTGGCTAATATTAAGTTATTGCAGATACCACATTCATTATGCTGCAGTACTGTACATATTTTTCTTAGAAATTAGCTATTTGTGCATATCAGTATTTGTAACTTTAACACATTGTTATGTGAGAAATGTTACTGGGGAAATAGATCAGCCACTTTTAAGGTGCTGTCTTATATCTGGGAATGAATGACCTAAAATCACTTTAACCATTGCTACTGGAAAGTTACAGAGTCAAAATTGGAAGGTTTTAGTCATTCTTGAATTTTTCCTTTCTGAAGAGCTCTTCTGTTTATACATGCCTAAATTCTTTTAAAAATGTAGAGGGATACCTGTCTGCATAATAAAGCTGATCATGTTTTGCAACAGTTTGCAGGTGAAAAAAAATAAATACTAGAAAATATGCTATTGTTTTGTGTTCTTGCTGCAATGCCTTTACCAAAGTGGCCTTAAATATCAGTAGTGAATTGAGAACATCTTGAATTCTTAAATTAGAGTTTCAGAAGACTTCTAGTGACTAACTTTTATGTCTGAAAGCAAATTTTATAAAAAGGCCATGTAGAAAATTTATTAAAACTACTATGACTGCTATGTTTAGGAATATGTCAGTGGTAAAGCATTTAATGTAGCTTGTTAGATTCACTGTAATTCTTCTAATTTCTTTGCAACTTCTTAATTTTGTGAAAATTTGTATATATAAAGAATTTGCATGTATGTGTATTTACAAATTTTTTTAAGTATCTTGAATTCTCAGACTGCAAAAAGGCTTATTTTAACTATTGATTTTTTTTTTTTTTTTAAATATTGTCTTTGAATGTATTGGAAGCAGACATGCATTAACTGTGACATGATTGCACCTCAGTTTTTTTTCTTTGGACAAACTGATATTAATAGGACATTTGTTTATGTTCATTTCTAGTGGAAAGAAACTGGAACCCAGTGTTACCTTAAAGTTATAGAATACTTTGTTTAAAAAGGCAGTGATACTAATGTTTAGCTATATCTTTATGTTAATATTCAAGTGAACTTGATTAAATATTTATATAATGCCTCATTCATCCAGTGATAATCTGGCAATCTCATCAAAACAGAACACAACTGAAAAACTTGTAATAGTTTTTTTTTTTTAATGCCTTTGAGCAGCCCACAGAAGTCACAGAGTCCATACGTTAGAGCTATGTTTTTATGTGAAATTTTGATTTATTAGATTTCCCAGACCATGGCATATTAATAGTTCAGAACTTATGGCTTGAAACGAAGGAGATAGATTGTATGACAAGCATACACTGTCTAAGACTAGTTAGTGTAGGGACAGCCAGCCCAGTTTAGAGGGCATCACTGTATACACCATCTTCTGAAAATTGCCTATTACTGTGACTCTGTGTCATCAAGAAAAGGTGAAATTGCATATGTAAATATGTAATACGTATTTGAAAAGTTTTCTTACAATACTTAAAATTGTTTTTAAAGCTTTGGTATTAAAAGAGGTGAACATCAGTTTCCTCAAACATTATTCGTACTGAATACCTTTTCAAATGGTGACTACAGAAGTTGTTTTCATAGTATAGTAAGATCTGTGTTGAGTTTTAAACTTCTTGAAGCATTGCTGTCCCGTGCATATCTGGCTGAATGTATAGTTGTCTGAACTACTTTGATCAGACAAGGGAAGTCTCTGCCCCTTTTCTGAGCAGTACGCCTCTTCTCTTAGAATTAAATGAATGCTGCAAAGGTCTGGGTGTGTGTTGGTGTATACTTGAAATCTCTTCAAATTTTTGGAGTCACCTTCCAGCCCCCTCATGGAGGGAATACTTAAAGAGATGTCTTTGAATTCCTATGTTTTAGATTGTATTGGGTCTCAATCAACTCTTTTATCAAGCTATACCATTGAAGGCCATTACCCAGTTAACCTACCAGGCTTTCCATCTAAGAAATAAGTAAATTAAACAATTGTTATTAAAATAATTTTAAAGACCATTTTTTTCTGGGTAAACCTTGAGGTTTGTAATTAAGTGGAGACTTGTTGACTTTGAATGCTATAAAATCAAAATGCTTAGTGTAAGAAGTGATCCAACTTTAATGTGGATTTGAATCCTCAGACTTTCATGTTCAGATTTGCTTCTGGTTTTATATGGACTATCAGAACTGTGTTGAACAGTGAAGAGGAGAAAATACTCAGTGGTTAGCAACGTGAAGACACAGTTTTTCCTGACTTACTGGTTGAGTCATCTTCTCTCCTTTTGTGTTTGCTCAGGAAAGAAAATTTTCTTTTAGGGTGACAAACTTTATTGATTAGTTTAAAGGTATATTTTACTCTTATTTTTGTGAAGGTAGAGATCAGGTAGATCACTTGCTTCTGCAGAATAATTCTTTCTGTAAATTTGAAGAAGCATATCAGTGCTTGCTTTACTTCTGAGTTGCCCCAGCTCCCAACATATATCCTCATTGGTATAGTTCCTATAAATTGGTAAAATGAAGAGAATAACTAACTGGCTGCTTTCCAAACATTTTGGCCTCAGGACTATTAACTCTTTTAAGTTATTGAAGATCTCCAAAAAGCTTTTGTTTATATAGCTTGTATTGCTCAGTATTTGCTGTATTAGAAATTAGTACTGAGATATTTTTAAAGCATATTTATTCATATAAATGTAACAATAATAAACTCATTATACATTAACATAAATACCATTTTTGATGGCAAATCACTGTTTTCCACAAACAGAAGACCGTTGTTTTACATTTTGCACATCTCTTTAAAAACCTGGCCCAATAGAAGCAGTGGGATTCTCATACTACTTTCTCATTGCAGTTCTTTGAAGTGACATGGTGTGTAGGCACTGGAAAACTCTACCGCGCACTTGTGAAACCACGAGTGAAACAGACAGCATTTTAGTATGCTGAAAATAGTTTTGACTTTGGGTTTTAGGGGAACCCTTGGGGTTTCTCAGGCTACAGTGGTTTGAGAACCGCTGCACAACACTTTAAATCTGTATTTTCTGTGATAATGATGTTTAGTTGTAAGGTATATACACTGTTCCCTGAACTTCTCAGTGTTTTTGTTGGCTTGTTGGGAAAAATTTACATTTCATTTGAAATGGCAAACTTTTTAAATGTTTTCTGGATTTTCTTCCTTTGATTTTTATTTGAATGTATTTCAGTAATGATGAAATTGGTGAATATCTCATTTTTAAAAGGAATATTCCAAGTTCTGGCTCTTGAATATTAATACTTATTTTGGAATTATTTACTCTTCTGACCACTTTGAAATTGTGGTATTCTTTTGGGAGATTGTCAGATAGCTATTAAAATTACACCTTGCTAAAGAACATTCAAAAATGAAGAATAATTTCTTATCTCTCCTGTGTTTATAGTTAACAAAGAATTTTAACTTTGTGTATGTATGTGTATATATATATATATATATATATATATTGGGGGAATGAAAGTAGGATTTCTTTAACAAAAATCATTACCTTCCAAGATGTCGGCTACAGTTAAAGGAATGTATTTACTTCTTAAGAAGGAAATTTGCTCTGGGTTTTTCCCCCAGTGGCTTTTTTATATCTTGTCCATTTTTAGGAAAAAAACGCTTGTTTTTTCTCATTTCAGCAGAATGTTTTTAAATTCTTTTGAAGACATAGTGACTTTGTAAAAGGTAGTTTATGATACATAGTCAGTCACCTCTTGCTGCTGCTGTTGGCATACAGTAAGACATGCTGCTGTCCTCAGGCTGGCCTGTGCCTTGCTTCTTGGGCCTCTTTGTTCATATGTTTGTGCTCCTGCTCCAAACTCACATACAGAATGACTGACCTTATCTTTGGCCTCCACTTGCAGTCTCAGATTTATATCAGAAAGTTAATCTCTCCAGGACCTTATAAAGATATATTTCTTTAAATATATGACTTGAAAGTAATAATGGTGATGGTATTACAGAGTGTGGTTTATTAAACTCTTTTAGTGTATCAGAAACTTGCTAAATGCTTTTAATGTATGAAAAATCTCATATGGTCCTTAAAGTGGGCTCATACTTTAAGGATGAAAGAAGCAAGGCATTAGGTTAATGACAGGGCTTTTGCTCTGGGAAGCAAGTATTTTATTGTTGGATTAAGATGCTCTCACATATATGTGTAAGCAGATTTTTAAAAAATCATATGAAATTCTAAGAGAATCTCTTTCTATATCCTATATACCTAATAAAAATCATTTTTAATTTTGATTCCATTCATAATTTGCTGAAATCAGTAGTTTATTCTCTAGGGTTTTATTTAAACTTTACAAGTAAATTCATGGGGGTAAATAGTGGGTCAGGTTTTAAACTAAAGAGACATTTGAAGTATCACAATAACTCCTCTATTTTGTGAAACATTCCAACTATTAAGTCTCTGCCCTGTACAGTAGTAAAATTACTTTTGAAAGGGTGCTGTTACTAAAATGTGTTATAAATTAGCTTATTGTATTGAGTTTATATTCATTAGTTAACTTTTTCCTTGTATATTTTAAAACATGTCATTCATTAAAAATTTTATGTGGTATATTTGAGCAAATGAATATACGACCAAGATGTGCTGGTCATATATTGTGCTGGTGAATGCTTTTCTCTCGTGAAAAAGTGTCCTGTTCTTGGAAGATTCCCTGGAGAAGGAAATGGCAGCCCACTCCAGTATTCTTGCCTGGAGAATCCCATGGACAGAGGAGCCTGGTGGGCTACAGTCCATGGGGTTGCAAAGAGTTGGACATGACTGAGCGACTTCACTTTCACTTTCACT